TGCTGTGTCTTATTTAAAAGATGATCAGATGTCAAAGATTTACTGAGGCTTTCACCTTGACTTAATCAGCAGCAAGCAATAGCACGAAGAGGGAACTTTCCAGATACAGCAGTCCCTGTTCCTCAACGTGCCCTGTCCACAATGATCTCTTGTTCTACCACCTGCAAACACGATGCTCAGAGATGGCCCCTCCTCTCCCCAGGTGCTTGACTTTACCGGAGTCTGGATTGTTTTACAGCAGTGTGAACTCAGAAGGACTGTGTCTTCTTTCCTGGCTCATGAGATTGTCTCACCTTTACAAGGGTACTTCAGAAAATTTGCAGAAAAAATGGAATTCAAAGATAAGTTGATTTAGGGGCAAGACATTTTGAAATGCAAGCATCATTTTCTTCATAGAGTGCATTTGCCATGAACTATTTGGAGGTAGTGTCAGATTGCACAGGTGGGGGGCACAGTCCCTCAAGACTGCCCGCGCTTTGATGGCCTGACCCCCAACACCAGGTTGTTATCCCTGTGCTGACCAATCAGCTGAAAGCCCCTCGGTGGGCTCAATGCTTTTGCTTGAACAGCTCCCAGAACTCGGGGAAACTGAGGTTCTTACAGAGGAGATGGGTGAAGAGATGTATGTGTCAAGGAAGGTGGGAAGAGGTGTGGATCATCTGTGCCTTCTCCGGGCACGACATCCTCCAGGAACCCCACATGTTCAGCCTTCCAGATGCTCTGAGGACATTTGGGGGTTGTGGGGGGTCCCGCTGCATAAAAACCTCTGATTAGACCACTGCCCGATGCTGACCACTTCAACCTTCAGCCCCTCTCCCTCTCCCGGAGGCTAGGCCATGGACCTGCAAGGCCCTACCCTCCAGTGGTGGCTTGGTTTTTCTAGTGGTCAGTCCCCATCCTGAAGCCACTAGTTATCTCATGAGCATACAAAAGACACTGTTTTTGCTCGAGATGGCCAGGAGATGGACTAAGACCAGATACGTATTTCACAATATCTCCATCTATACCTACATATAATACACATTTGGCCCTGAATCCCTATAGTCCACCAACCATGGATCAAAAATATTTTTAGAACATTGTATATGAGGCTGGTGCCGTGGCTCAATAGGCTAATCCTCCGCCTGCGGTACCAACACACCGGATTCTAGTTCCGGTTGGGGCGCTGGATTCTGTCCTGGTTGCCCCTCTTCCAGGCCAGCTCTCTGCTCTGGCCCGGGAGTGCAATGGAGGATAGCCCAATCCCTTGGGTCCTGCACCCGCATGGGGGACTGGGAGAAGCACCTGGCTCCTGGCTCCTGGCTTCGGATCAGCGCGATGTGCTGGCTGCAGCGCGCTGGCCGCGGCGGCCATTGGAGGGTGAACCAACGGCAAAGGAAGACCTTTCTCTCTGTCTCTCTCTCTCACTGTCCACTCTGCCTGTCCAAAAAAAAAAAAAGGAGCAGCCGGGATTAGAACTGGCACTCATATGGGATGGCGGCACAGCAGGCAGAGGATTAACCCACTGTACCACAGCACCGACTCCAGAGTCCCTGCTCTTAATTACTCAGGCCATTTTGGTGGAAGACAGTCAGGAAGCCTTTGCAACATTAATTATCTCTTAATTGAGAGTTTGAGAAAATGAAGAAGAAACCTGCACTTACTCTCATCAACAGATGAGGCTTTTGTCTGACAATTTTCTTTCAACACAGTGAATTATAATCAAATGCCTTTTAATAAGTAATTCTGCTGAGCCATGTACCTTCAAGTCAAACCAAGCAAACAGAATCCATGTCCTCTAGCGCCCGACCCTGGGGACGGCGCAGAGGACTTGGATGTTTGACCAGCAAGCCGAGTGCATTAGAAGGCAAGATAAAATATTTACCTGGCGCCGAGGCATTGGGCTTTTCCATTCCGCCAGAGCAGGCTTGGCAGGGAAAGGGAAGGGAGCCTTCCTGGCAGGAATGAGAGCTGAATGTGACGAAAAAGCAGATGATGGGTGCTGCTTCGGGTTTAACTGGAGAGGCCAAAGATAGATGGGTCTAAAGGGTGGGACGGATGCCAACCCGAGTCTGTCTTGGCCTCCTGCCCAGGACTGTGTCTACCTCACCAATCAGAGACGGGGCCTCGTTCCACCCACTGTCACTTGTCTGACACATGCTATCTCTTCCACCCAGCGGGCCCACCTGCTGGCCCCACTGCTCTGAGACCCAGAGGCCGTGTTGCAAGTCCTGCCTTTGATAGGCACAAAAGATGGAATAGCTTACCCGCTGGCCAGAGCACGCCGCTCTGACCTCCCATTGCCCTGTGCACAGCTGAAGCATGAACCCTGTCTTGTGAGGGGAGAGCCCCTTCATAGCACTCGAGAGGAAATTTCCATCAGAGCCCTCGAGATAGCCATCTGGCCTCCTGGCCTTGTCCAATCTGTTTACTATACTTTTTTTTTTTTTTTTTGGACAGGCAGAGTGGACAGTGAGAGAGAGAGAGAGACAGAGAGAAAGGTCTTCCTTTGCCGTTGGTTCACCCTCCAATGGCCGCCGCGGCCAGCGTGCTGTGGCTGGCGCACCGCGCTAATCCGATGGCAGGAGCCAGGTACTTATCCTGGTCTCCCATGGGGTGCAGGGCCCAAGTACTTGAGCCATCCTCCACTGCACTCCCTGGCCACAGCAGAGAGCTGGCCTGGAAGAGGGGCAACCGGGACAGAATCTGGTGCCCCGACCGGGACTAGAACCCGGTGTGCCGGCGCCGCTAGGTGGAGGATTAGCCTAGTGAGCCGCGGCGCCGGCCCAACTATACTTTAATAAGTCTGTTAACACTCCAACAAGAAGTGCTGCCACCAACGGCATCCTTCTCTGGTTTGTTTTGCTGAGGTGTGTGTCTGTCTCCTGAGGCTGCCTCAGGTTCCGCGGGGTGTCCGGGAGCCACTTCCTTCGTACTTTAAATTTGCTTATCCAACATTTGTCTGTCACTGACCTCCTAGCAGGTGCCATTCTAAGTGTCTTCCTGTTAGAGCAACGCATTTGCTTTTCCTGGCAGTCTCGTCAGCCATGTCCTACTGCTCTTTCCATCTGGCAGACTAGGCACAGAGAGGTTTAAGAGTAATTTAAGGATGCACAGCTAGTGATGGCGTAGCTGATGTTCAGGCGGACTCCAGGAGGAGGTCAGAGACGTCCCCTGGTGGACGACTGTTACCATGATAAGAAGGGTCTCAAGGTGGACCAGGGGGTCAGATGGCAGGAGTACAGCGCATCAGGAGACAGAGACTGCAGAAGGAAATTTACATTGAGGAGGAGAAAACTGTGGTGTGGAGCTCCATCTCCTTCACCTTCGTGAGTTCTGGCCTTGATTTGTGTCAAACCATGACCACTGACTGCTCAAAGTGCTCCAGGTTGCCTCCATCCCGCCTTCCTTGAGTCTGGATCTAAAAAGAAATATTGTATTTATTTATTTTCATTTTATTTGACAGGCAGAGAGACAGGAAGAGATAGAGACAGACACAGAGAGAAAGACCTACCTACTAGTTCATTCCCCAGCTGCCCACAATGCTGAAGCCAGGAGCCTGTAGCTTAATTCAGGTCACCCATATGGCTGGCAGGGACCCACCTACTTGAGCCATCACCCGCTACCTCCTAGAGTCGCATTAGCAGGAAGCTGGCACCAGAAGCAGAGCCGGTACTTGAACCTAGGTACTGCCATATGGGATGTGTTTGTCCCAAGTAGCACCTTACCCCTTGCACCAAATGCCTGCTGCAACTCAAACATTTTGTAACACTAAAACCATGAGCTAAGAGATCAGGTAGCTTCCTGAATTTCACATTTCCACTCAGGGAGGTTGGGTGGGAGGAGGGAGACTGAAACCACCCTGGCGTGGGACTTCATTATCTCCCAGTGAACGTGGAGTGTGTCTTCTCCATCTCCCTCCTTTTGCCATCATGGACAGAGCAGTTTTTGAAAGGGCTTCCTCCCCTATGTTCCTTGGGGATATGATACAAATAACAATGCATTTGCCCCAAAACCTGTGGATTTCAACCTGTGACGATGACGAAGGCTGACACTGGTCAGAGCATGCGCTGTGAGTCTGGCACGGCCTCCTGTGCTTGAAACGTCCCATACCTTATTCATTCCTCACAACCTGGGAACAGGTGGGTATTCTTATCATTGGCTTGCTGCAGAAGAGGGAACAGGCTCAGAGAGGTCAAAGAATGTACTTAGGTACTTAGCTTTGGTGAATTCAAACCTAGGAAATTTGTGGCAGCTCCTAACCGCCCCAGGAAATCACGTGGTGTCTCTGAGCGGAAAGAGTTGATATTATGCATATTTCCATTTAAAAATATAAAAAATTTTGATGTAGTATTTAAGAGAGAAAAAGGTACACTGTCCACAGTTGTTTCGTCACTGTTTCTGTACGTGCACACTGAACGCTCACACGGAGTGTACTTGTGCATCTCCCACTGGGAATGTGCCAAATCACAAGGTGCAACAACACTTTTTTTTTTTTTTTTCAGAGGGAGCCGGGCAGGACAAGGTTAAGGCCATGTCAGAAAAGTCAGAGTTCCTTATCCAGTGCCACCATTGTCTAGCGCGACACAGGGAAGCCTGAGACGATCGTGCCACAAAAATAAACCATTTACAAAGTCAGCTTGGTCACCAAGAAATGGGTCTATGCGCACTGCATAAGAACGAACGTTGGGCCTGACACCTCCTACTCGACCAAGCCGTTTCTGTCTGATCAGGCGGGAATACGGCGGCAAGCCAGGAGGCAGGTCCTGCGACGAGCCGCGGCCAACCTCTGGGTGTGTGACCTTGGACAAGGTCCCCGCTCTGTAAAAGAAGCGGGTTCCACGAAGGGAATCTGCCGCTCCGACTCCCGGCCCACAGCGGAGCCCCGGCCGCCGCGCCCTGGCGAGGGTGGGCGAGGCTCCCGCTCCCTGCGCCCCGGCGGGCCTGCCCGCGAGGGCGCTGTTCCGAGCCGCAGAGCATTCGCGTTCCGAAGATGTTTGTCCCTCGCCGCGCGCCGTCCTCCCCGCCGCCGCCCGCGGAGTCGGAGGAGGCGGAGCTGCTGCCGTCCCGGCTCCGGAGCGGGGAATCGGTTGAGGAGGCGGCGCGGCGGGCCCGGGCAGCCGAGGCTCGGGCAGAGCGACCTGGGAGGCTGGCAGGTGGCGCCGGCAGCGCGGGGAGAGCGGCGCCGCGGGGTGGGCGCTCTGGGCGAGAGGAGTCCACTCCATGCGTGCGGGCCGAGCTCGGCCCCTGCGAGCCGCCGACATGAAGAAAGACGTGCGGATCCTGCTGGTGGGAGAACGTGAGTGCGCGCCCCGGGCGGGCCGCGGCCCCGCGCAGCCCTGCTGCGCGCTCTCTGTTGCCCCCAGGCCGCGCAGCGCCTTCGCTGAGGTTTCCACCAAGCCTTCCCGAGCCCCGTCCCCCTCAGCCCCTCGCCTCGCGCCCGCGTCTTCCTGCAGGCCCCTTCCTCCCCTTGGTCTTCGCAGCCTCTGCCCTCGGGTCGCGCTGGCCGCCAGGCCGCCCCTTTCTGACCCGCGGGGACGCCCGGTGACCACCGGCCATGGGGACTGCGCGGCCCGGCTCGCGGGGAGGCGAAGGGCAGCGGTGCGGGGCGGCCCCGCCGGTGGGCAAGGTCAGGCTCCTGGGTTTGCGCTCGCGGTCTCTGCCGCCAGCCTGCGTTGACGCGGAGGTAGGAAGGCTTGTTTTCGTGTTGAGCTACGCTTGGACTTGGCAGTATTTTCCGAGATTTTCTCAAAAATCTACTCGCAACTTCGGAGTTAACACGCACAGGGGCTCGGTGAACAAGGGTCCTTTAGCCGAAGCGGTTATCCCTTTAAGCGGTGTTTATTCCTTAGCTACTTGGCAGTGAACTTACAGACACCAACAGGCGCTGGGACCCCAGCAGTCACACATGCACGCCCTCGCAGAGAGCAGGAGAATCAAGGGGTCATGCTCGTGTTCACTGCCCGGGAGGACAGCAGCCGGGACTTCGTGATAGCGCTGTGCAAGTGCCATGACTCAGTCGCTGGGACTAAAATAAGAAAGTGGGCTAGGCAAGCCCTGGGTTGCTTGAAAGCATGTTAGCGCTGCTGTCTCTGCTGTTGCCGTTGGAAGCATTCCATCCTAAACCACATCCCATCCTGAAGTAGCCTCTCCAGGTCAGCCTGATGCTCCCAGCGAAGCAAGTTAGCACCTTGTTACCCTCTTCTGTAGTGTCCTTTGATGGCCATTGGGGTCTGTGCACTTGCAGTTTGGAGAAATCTTCCATCAGAATCAGAGTTTTGCAGTAAGTGGAGCCAGACATAGTTTTATTGTCTGCCGTTAATTTTACTTTATTTTTGACTATACCCTTTTTTTTTTAAAGATTTATTTATTTATTTGAGATGGGGAGACAGATCTTCTTTCCTTTGGTTTACTCCCCAAATGACCACAATCGCCAGGGATGGGCCAAGCCAAAGCCAGGAGCTTGGAACTCCATGTGGGTCTCCATGGGAGTGACAGGGGCCCAAGCACTTGAGCCGTCTTACAGTGCATTAGCAGGGAGTTGGATTGGAAGTGGAGAACCTATATGGGATGCTGGTGTTGCAGGCTGCATCTTAACCAGCTGTGCCACAACGCAGGCCCCTTTAACTATATTTTAATCTGTATTTTGCATGTATTTACTTAACAAATCTGTATTTTGCATGTATTTACTTAACAAAGTTTGGGAGGTGGTGTTTGAAATGTGATTCATGCTGATGGGTTGGAGCAAGGTAGGGAAAGTGACTAGATGACCTATTTTAAAAACTCACCTGTAGGGGCCTGTGTGTGGTGGAGCAGGTTAAGCCACCACCTGCGAAACTGGCATCTCATATGGGCAATGGTTCAGTCCTGGCTGCTCCACTTCTATCCAGCTCCCTTCTAATCTGCCTGGGAAAGCAGGGGAAGATGGCCCAAGTGCTTGGGCACTGTCCACCACGTGGAAGACTGATGGAGCTCCTGGTTTGTGACCATTTGGGGAAAAACCAACAGATGGATGATCTCTCCTTTTCTTTCTAACTCTGCCTTTCAAATAAATAAATATTCATTAATTTATTTTATTAAAAAATGCGTTCTGTAACTGGTCATAAGATAGTTTTATAGTATAATAATTTTCATACAAATTTTAAAAAGAGAAAGGTCCTATGTTTGGGATTTAGCTTTACTCTTAGTAAGTTCACATAATTAGTGTGTGAAATATTTAAATAAAATTTAAGTTCAATTGTTAACACTATTATTTAGGCATACATTTAAAAAATTCAAAATTTGTTAAAAAATTACAAGTCATGTTTTTTGGAAATAAAAGAGAATAAGAGAGTTGATAATATTGTCTATACAAGTTTTCAGATCAAGGATACTTGACAGAAAGCCGTAGTTTTTGAGGAATATACTTTTTTTTTTAAAGATTTTTATTTATTTATTTGAGAGGTAGAGACAGAGAGAGAGGTTTCCTTCCGTTGGTTCACTCTCTGAATGGCTGCAACGGCCGGAACTGCGCCGATCCGAGGCCAGGAGCCAGGTGCTTCTTCCCGGTCTCCCACGCGGGTGCAGGGGCCCAAGGACTTGGGCCATCTACTGCTTTCCCAGGCCACAGCAGAGAGCTGGATTGGAAGAGGAACAGCTGGGACTAGAACCCGGTGCCCATATGGGATGCCGGCACTGCAGGTGGAGGATTAACCTACTGTACCACGGAGCTGGCCCCCGGAATATACTTTTGTTAAACGCTTTCAGGGGCCAGCGCTGTTTCATAGCCAGTAAAGCTGCCACCTGCAGTGCTGGCATCCCATAGGGGCGCCCGTTCGAGTCCCGGCTGCTCCTCTTCTAATCCAGCTCTCTGCTATGGCCTGGGAAAGCAGATGAAGATGGTCCAAGTCCTTGGGCCTCTGTATCCACATGGGAGACCCAGAAGAAGCTCCTGGCTCCTGGCTTTGGATCGGCGCAGCCCCGGCTGTTGCAGCCAATTGGGGAGTGGAACCAGTGGATGGAAGACCTCCATCTCTCTCTCTGCCTCTCCTTCTCTCTGTAACTCTGAATTTCAAATAAATAAATAAAAGCTTTCAGGCTGGACCCGTGATGTGGCATAGGTTAAATCTCCACCTGCACTGCCGGCTGTCATCCCGCGTGGGCGCCAGTTTGAGTCCCGGCTACTCGACTTCCTATCCAGCTCCTTGCTAATGTGACTGGGAAGGCAGCAGAAGATGGCCCAAGTTCTTGGTCCCCTGCACCCATGTGGGAGACCTGGATGAAAATCCTGGCTCCTGGCTTTGGTGTGACCCAGCCCCATCTGTTTTGGCCATTTGGGGAGTGAACCAATGGGTGGAAGATTTCTTCTCTCTCTCCTCTCTCTCCTCTCCTCTCTCTCCCTCTCCCTCCCTCCCTCCCTCCCTCCCTCTGTTTCTCTGTAACTTGCCTTTCAAATAAACAAATAAGTCTTTTAAAAAGAGCATTTAGGCCATATACCATATATTGAATTATAATACCATATATTGAATTATAGTTGAAATATAATTTTCATTATATTAAAGGCTGGTATTTTAGGGGAAATGCTTTAGACTTTACTTTCTGGGATTTAATGTAAATATTTGATAGCTGGTAGCATAGCTGGAGCACTTTAAATGCTAGGTAAATGTAAGTGTGGCTAGATACTATTTTTTTTTTTTCATTTAAAAGTTTATTTATTTACTTGAAAGCAGAGTTAACAGAGAAAGGGAGAGAGAGAGAGAGAATCTTCCATCCAGTGGTTCATTTCTTAAATGGTCACAATGGCCAGGATTGGGCCAAACTGAAGCCAGGAGCCTGAAACTCCATCTAGGTCTCCCACATGAGAGCAGGGGCCCAAGGGCTTAGGCCATCTTCTGCTGCTTTCCCAGGTGCATTAGCAGAGCTGGATGGGAAATGGAGCAGCCTGACTTGAACCATTACGCATAAGGGATGCCAGCTTCCCAGGTTAACCTGGTTGGCTGCAACATTGGCGTCAGACTAGATACTATTTTTTTTTTTTTTTGACAGGCAGAGTGGACAGAGAGAGAGACAGAGAGAAAGGTCTTCCTTTGCCGTTGGTTCACCCTCCAATGGCCGGCGCGCTGCGGCCGGCACACCACGCTGACCTGATGGCAGGAGCCAGGTACTTACCCTGGTCTCCCGTGGGGTGCAGGGCCCAAGCACCTGGGCCATCCTCCACTGCACTCCCTGGCCACAGCAGAGAACTGGCCTGGAAGAGGGGCAACCGGGACAGAATCTGGCGCCCCGACCGGGACTAGAGCCTGGTGTGCCGGCGCCGCTAGGTGGAGGATTAGCCTAGTGAGCCGCGGCGCCGGCTGATACTATTTTAATGCTAGTCTGATACATGGGTTTATCTACACCACAGATACTAGAAAACAGTGGTGATGATTTGAGTTAATTCTCATTTAAGCAAGTCTAGTTTTCAGTTGTTGTAAGATGGTTAACTAAGGAGAAGTGGAGAAACAAAGAAAAAAGAGCATCATCTCTGGTATTGTTGTAGAATCTGTCTTATTGCTGTCCTGGTGCCTGAACCATGCAGTAGCAGCTTCATTCTCTGAAGGGCTGAACTAGTTGAGAATGGTTTCAACATTCTGGTGGCTACAGTGTTACACTGCACTGTTAAGGTAAAAGGGATCTTTTCTTGGCTCACTTCTGGTCCACCCAGGTTTTATTGCTAACTGATTGCTTGATGTGTATTTAGAGCTTAAATCAGAGAAGTTAGGCTGTGTATAAATTTTGAGGTATATTTGTAGAGAAAGCCAAAGTGTTTTAAATAAATGTATCCATTTTTTAAAAAGATTATTTATTTATTTGAAAGTCAGAGTTGCACAGAGAGAGGAGAGGCAGAGATAGGTCTTCCATCCGCTGGTTCACTCCACAATTGGCCACAACGGCCGGAGCTGTGCCAGTCCGAAGCCAGGAGCCAGGAGCCAGGAGCGTCTTCTGGGTCTCCCACATGGGTGCAAGGGCTCAAGGAGTTGGGCCATCTTCTACTGCTTTCCAAGGACACAGCAGAGAGCTGGATGGGAAGTGGAGCAGCCGGGTCTCGAACCGGTGCCTATATGGGGTGCCGGTGCTTCAGGCCAGGGTGTTAACCCGCTGTGCCATAGTGCTGGCTAGTGAATGTATCTTAATTGTTGAATACAGCAAATACCATTCAGGCCAATCAAAAGTCAATAACTGTTCTTTAAGTGAAACAAAATTTTAAAAAATCTTTAACAATGCAGTGACATAAAGCTTAGTTCTTTAAGTCATCAGTTCTCATTAAATTTGTTGTCCAGA